TAGGGTCTTATAGGATTTTTACTTATGATCGTAACAACCATTTAACAAATTTTGCATCAAGGGCGTTATGATGTTATTCCTTGTTACATATGGTACTCACATTTGAGGCGTAGCAGCTTGAGCATCAGCCTCAAATTTTCTTCTTGTGGTTACGAATTGTCTTCCGATGCTACTTGGTAGTTATTCTTGTTAAGAGGATTTGTCCACTTCTTCGCCTAGGTATATCTCTTTCTTCGTTATGAATTACGTATTAGAAGAAGACAAAATTTTCACAAGGCACAATCTATAGTTACATGTTAAGATCTTCTTTCCCTTTTTTTTTAGTTCAGTTATTTTCAAGTAGAAACTGAGGCCAGAAAAGTTAATTTTATAGAACGTGAAACAATAGCAATTTTCAAAACGACTTTTTACATAGTCCAAAATGTTTTAACACTATAAATTTATAATGAAATCTACAAGTCAAAGTCATGTTAAATCATAAACTTTTCGATTTTGGGTTGGGTAGACATTGTATCTATGTTAAGATTACATGAAGATCTGTGTATTGTTCATAGGCTTTTTTCTACAATATTTTTTTCTTATCTCTTAACAGGGATAGATAAAGTGAGTTTCACTTTGTGCAAACAACTTGGAGATTTTTTGACTTTCCTATTATAGTCTCATGTTAAAGTTGCTGTTTTGCAGGCTGTTGCTTTGAAAAATGTGAGAAAAAAATTGTTCTAAGCAGCTTCACGTTGAAGTAATTGACACTCGGTCATATGGTTTCAGGATGTTGAAAGTTTCACATTTGTCGACATAGTGAATCCTTAAACTTTTCTAAGCGGAAAAAGGGTGTTTCTTGTTATATGGTAAACAATCAAGGGAAAATTTGTATTACTTTAAAATGATAATGTGTAACTATGAAATATGGACCTGGTTTTCGTATGAATAACCCAATGAAACTCTTAAATATTTACTTTGAGTTGAATATTTTATTGCTGTGCTGAAATTTTTTTCTGTACGTATTTGTCGTTTCTTGTTGTTTCTTATGCCCATGGAATGTCCTAAAAATTTACCCACTTTTAATTCCTTTCAAGTGAATTGTAGTTACTGGCTCTTCAAAACCTGCTGTTGCCAATTTTTTGGTAAACCTGTCTGTGTTAGGTTCATAGTTATTCTAAATGTGTTTAGATTCTACATATATTTGTGTTCCTTATGCATCCTGCAGCATGATGAGCCCTGATTTGTTCTAAACAGGTATTTTACATTCCATTTTTGTTGTTTGTTCCAGAACTAAATTTCGTAAGGCTCAATCAACAGTAAAGTTTGGGCAAATTTTTTCCCCTTTCTGAATCCAACATTAAACTATAAATTAACACGATTAAGCGAGATTAATTAACCAGCAATTGTTTTAATATTTCTCTGATGTGTTACTCAATATACAACAAAAGATAGCACTGTCACACAATGTCATTTTAAAGCTTGCACGAAGCAGGTATAAGGTCACTCTTACACGTTGTATATTTAACGAGACACTGAAACTGCAAATCTAAAGCTGTTCTTAAGGGGAAAGCCAAACTGCAAGCTATAAAATGCAGTTAAAAACAGCAAATATCTTGTTTAAATTGTTTAAAAGTTCAAGTGATCAAGTTCATTTATCAGGGACAAAACTTTTTTATAAGTCTTTCATACAGTAAAGCACTTCGGCATGTTTGTTTGAATAAAATGTCTTTAGGAATTCCTATGTTACAACCTTAAAAAAGGCTTGAGCTTCTGCTGCTTGTTAGTTTCTACAATTGTAGAAAAATTTCTTCTTGTACCTGATACAGCAGAGTCAAGTCTTTTTATTAGATTTTTCAACAAGGTATGACCTCAAGCATATGGCAACATGCAAATCTTCTGTAAAAAGTAGAAAAATAATAATTCAAAAAAGAAACAATAAATTTATGTTGTTATTGCCTTAACTTTTTTTGCTAAACTTTTAATCTGCTACGTATAAGATAAAAAATTATTTTGAGATAAAAGCTTGCAATAGCTTGCCAGTCACAAAAACAATGTTTACCTACCATTAGTTTATCTACCTTCTTTCATCTGCTTTCAGCTGCTAATTCTTCAGCATATTGGCCATTGTGTTCTCTCTTCAACTACAATTTAATAAAAAAGAGGAGTTCGTTATACATATACTATAGACACCGCAACAATTTAAAAAACCCCTTGCAGGGTGACCCACGAAAGGGAATTAGCTCAGATAATTGTGTATGCATTCAAAGGAAGTGGGCATAAAACATATTAGTCTGCATTATGAATGCAGCAATGCAAATAAAACAATACAGGCATCAATGGTGTTGTCTGGAGTTCTTGTCTGCGAATAAAAACTCCTTAAGCTGAAAGGAATTGTGAAAGGGAAAGAGGCATAACTAATAGCTATTTGCTCCGCCTGGTTGATTTAGGTACACGCTTGTTTCTCCTCGTTGGAACTTATGGAAACCATGAATTAGTTTTTAAGACTGTTTTTACTCAGTTATGTTGCTATTGTATTACAATGCTTTTGCGTAGTTAATTTGAGATTAAAGTCAGTGTATGATAATACTTTTAACTTGTTTTCCCTTAATTAATACTGAACAAACCTTATGAAATCCTGCAGAAATGTAAAGCTGTTGGGAATGCTAATTACATTATTGTGTACAATAATTTGGAAAATACATAATTTATGTGGATTCTGTTTTTTTGGTACAACCTGCGTAACTAAACAGCCAAAGTGCTAAACTTAAAATAAAATGTACCTGGCTAGTTCCACTTTCTTTGACATCAAAGCATGACTCTTCTTCTTTTCTTTATTTTCTCTTTCATACTTGTCATGTGTTCATTTGATAAATGATCAATCTCATCAGTTGGAAGCTATAAATTTACAATTCGTTTGAGGAGAGAACGTACAGATGTTTGTGATCAGTATTTTCCTCTAGTACTTTTTGCCTCGTAAGAACCTGGAGGTAGCGCTTGCAATGGTGGATATAGTTAAGTTTCTTCAAAATTTTTTTATATAATATTGGTTTAAAAAAGTTTTGATCTATGGTATATAACTTAGCAAGGGTAAGCAAATTAAATAAAACACCATGCAAATGTAGCTACAACTTGTGGATAAGCTGGCATTATTGTAGAAAAGTAAATTTAGCTAATGTTGCTCGTCATCTATTTTAACTTTATGATACGTATTTCAACCTGTTTAGTGTGTATTTCAGGTTTCTTAGCAATTGAGGCAAGATTGCCCAGATGAAAGTTTGGTCTGTATGACATGGCTGCATTGATGGAGAATAATAAGTGAAAATAAAATAGTTTAATGATATAAAGAAACTTACATAAAAGCATCTATCAAGCAGGGGTGGATAGAGACATTTGATCTGCACACAACTCTTCCTTGATCATGTGTTGGAGCTCTTAAATATTAGAGGCTCTTTATAGTATTAGCTAAGCGTCTCTAAAACGTATTTGCCTATAGGAAAATGGCGCGCGCGGTGATAAGTAGTTTGAATGAATTTCTACCCCAACGTCTTTTTCATGAATGTATTCTGAGAAAGAGCATATCTCGCTGGGAGAACAAATGGGCTTTTCTATTTTCTTGCATTATGATTGCCATCCCTAAATTGGAAAGAAAACAAAAAAACAACAAAATATATTCTTGATAAAATAGGGAATATCAGTGAGAAATTGAAGATTATCACAACATACATATGCTGAGTGAAACAGCTAAAGGACTCATTCAGGGCTCATACATGATTACAATGCATTAATTTATACCTGAAAAAAGCATTGTAAAATGGATTGTGCTCTGTGTTACTTGTCATCTTTGCCCAATAAGAATAAAAAAGAACTACCCGAAACGTTAAGAAAAATCTGAGTTACATCATGTATCTTGGTTAATTTTAGATATTTCATATTATCATTTTGGATATAAAATTACAAGTTTTGCGTAGCTAACTTTAATTCTTTTATTCTGAATTATGCAAATGTTTGTTTAAGCACACGAATTTATTCTCATTGCTCGTTCATTCATATGCAGGCACATGATGAACACATGTCTTGTTTATGTTTTCAATTTGTATTGCTGAAATACAATTCGCTTTTTTGTGTTTCTTGGCGACTTTTCTCTTTAGCTGATGTTAAAATGAAACTATTTTTAACATGGCAGTAGAAACACAATTGTTGCCTTTAATCTCCCTTGCGCTGCCCATGGATAACATTGTGCTACCTGCAAATTAATGCTCACATGAAGACAATGTAAATTTTTAGATTTCGATAATTTCTTATGCCATGTTATTCGGAATCCAGTTTATTGACATGCATGATATTATGAATTAAGTCATACTTGGATTTATCTCACAAATACTGTGTTAAAATTCAGCAAAGTACACTATTGTAGTTTTCTAATGCAGCTAGTTGATCATAGTAGCTTTCGAATATGTATAAATGTAAGAGCACTATAATTCATTTTGTAAATGGCTTCTATAGACGCATAGTACTTTTTATACGATCAAATTCTTCGTGACAATGACATTTGTTCAAAGTTTTGTAGTTTATAATCTGTTGGCATCTTATTTATGAACAAAGGCTGTTTCTACTTTCATGCTATGTGAAACTCGGTTGTTGTCAATTAGCTGGCTGCATTCCATGCAACAAAAGTAAATTGTTTAGCCTGCTAGTTAGCTACAACAAAAACTAGATTGCGTAATCAGACTTGTAAATGTATGGTTTTAATTGCTGATACTTAAACTATAAAGATAATCCCCTCTAGATAAGAGACAAAAGTAGATTTTATCAGTTGTTATCCACTTTAGCACGCCATAAATACGGCAATTAACACTTAACACTTAAGCTGTCTATACCTCACTCATTAAACACGATTTGTACATAAAGTATGTGTACACTTTCAATTGTCGTTACAAAATAACAAATAGCTGGCACTATAACAGTATTTTCTGTATATTTTCTGTCTTAAAACATCAGTTTCTACTTAAAAAGGGGGACGGGGCGGGTGGCTGAATGGTTAATTGCGTGAGCTTTAAGCCAGTCGGCGCGGGTTCAATCCCGGCTCGTGGCACATCTGGCAATGTGCCTGAAAAACCTAGCCCGGGTTGACCAAAGCCATGTGAGGGAAATTTGGTAGAGGAAACTATGTCCTCGATGGACTGTATCTGCATCTGCAATGTTGCAGCCTTGTCACCCTGTGTCACGCTGATATCAGCGTTGTAGTTGCGTGACAGGTACGAGTGATTTTAGTCTGATCAGCTGCCTTCACTATAATTTCAGTGACCAGGATATTCCACTTCTGTGTGGAACCCTCATACGTCGAAATCGACGGAGTCCATTTACTACTTAAAAATAATAATCACCTTAAAGTGGTACTAAGACGAAAACTGAACGTTAAAAAATCATCGATTTTAGCATTCAATAGTTTAAACACATATCAATTATTGCTTTCGTAAAATTTAAGCAAAAATAATAGTATAACGAGGGAGTTATGAACATTTGAAATGTCTAATTTTCATGTCCGCCATTAAAATCGGCCATTTTGAATATATGCAATCAGCAAAGGTCTGTGACGTCATATTCTTAACACGGCAAGAAGCGCACATTGGAAAGTATACAAAGTAATACATAAATAGAGCAAAAAAATGTCAAATTCATCGAGATCTAGCTCGCTTTCTGAGTCTTCGATCGAGACAAACGCATCGATTTCTTCATCGGAATTCATGACGGCAAATTCGGACGAATCTAATTCGGAAATTTTGCCATTTGCCGATAATATTGAACCGCTTGCTTCGCCCGATGAAATTGCTGAGTACGAAGCTGCAGTTGCAGAAGAACGGCAGGTTGAGGACATGCTGCAAGATCGTTTTGATGCCCGTGTTGATGTTACTTCATGGTAAGATGTCATTCTTAGTGTGTTACTTTGATCTGAATCGTCTGCCGTTAGCTATGATAACTTTATGGAAACATACAATTTGGCCAATATTAAAGGTGTGAATGTGGCCATTGCTCGTTGGATCTTGTTGTCAACCCTCAAGAGTGCCGATGCTGCATGGAATTAGAGCAATGCCGTGGCAAAATGAATCAGTTCGAAGTCGATGAAAGAAAATGCATTTTGGATCACCCTGGCTTTAACGAAGTTTGCCTGAACGAATTTGTTCTTCAAGCAGCTTCGTTAGGTTTAAAGACCAAAGGTCATCGCAGTTATGCGACCGTTTTTCGAGATGGTCAAAAGACCAGAGAGGAGTAAGCCTTTTTCTTTGTGAAAATTCTAAAATATTATTTTGTGCGCCTGCGTCTATGTTTACTTTTTGAAATTTATAGGTTCTTTCGAGCAGTATCGTACAGACAACTCGTGCGTCTTGTATGGGACTTTACAGGCAGCTCCAGACATTTGCCACTGCCTTGTTGTTGTTACAACAAAATACGGACGACATTTCCGAACAATAAGTGTCTTCCTTACAAAGGATTCGAAGAGGATGAGGACATATAGCAATGTAAAAAGGTGATGGAAAAAGCTATTATAGGTGGTATATTTACAAAATTTACAAATATACATTTATATTATTGACAACTGCCCTTCTTGTGACCTTTCATAGTCTTTGCACATTTCTTGCACAATGGATTTCTTTTTTTAGCTGTATGCTCTTGACCTGTACCAAGCAAATCTTGTAATTCTTTATCTGTGCATGTGGGGGGACAGTCAGTGTTAAGTTTACGTTTTCAAGAAGGAAACAAGGTAATTGCATCAACTTTTGCTTGCTTTTCAGAAAGCATCATGTGCATTGGCTCTGGAGTGCTTTTTCCTTGGAGTCTTCAGCAAAGTGTCATAAATTTCTTCAACATATGCTTCAACAAAATTGGTAAATAATCCATTAGTGTTTTGTAAATACAACACATGCATTTAATTTCTCATGCTCATCAATTAAACTCACAGAAGTCTTGCTTCACCCTAACATTTCGTACAGTTCCTTCTCCCTCCTTATACTTTGTATATGTGAACCGAAGACGAGTTTCGCCATCAAGTGTAGTCTTGCTAGCCCTCCGCAAATTAAAGTTGAAATGTAATGCTGCTAAGATGGACCTACAATGAAAATTATTAGTTAACTTTATTTCATTATCACATAATCTTTGTCTTGAATTTTATCAAACTGTGATTTTTAGTTTACCTGCAATACATGCCAGAATAAGAGAAATGAATCATTTTTGGTGCGAAATGATTAACAACTGAATGGTATCCCTCCAAACAGCTGGTCTGGGCAACAGAAGATGCTTGTTTGATAGCTTTAACAAGTTTCTTTTTGGTAAGTGCATCTTTCAACTTTTCATAAGCAACAGATCCTAGATGAATATTATTCCAACTATTTGACTTACTTGGGTTTTTATCATGTTGCTTAGAGTTAGCGTATTGAAGTGAACAAATGTAATGATATTCTTTTAAACTCAAAATATTGTACCCTTTGTTAACCACACTCTTGGCTTTAGGACATCACTGTGACTGCATCTGCTGTAAATCTTATTTGGGAAGTCTTTGTGTTTATTCAAAATGTGATAGAAAAAAGATTCAAATTTGGCCCATTTAACTTCTCCAATTCCAGATAAAGTAGATGTAGCAGCCCAATAGAAATGTTGTACGCATGCTTTTCTCCATCTTCCTAGGATTTGGCAGTCTTTTTCTTTTGCCAATGTAATCATGATCTTCTGAATCTCTATAAGATAAGAATAACATGCTGTTGTAAACAATTTTCACTGATATGTCATGATGTAGGTATATATATAACTTAATACTTTTTCCAATGTGCCACAGGTCATAGAAATGCTGTTTTGGACATGTTTCCCTCAATTCTTTGCACAGTTTTGGACATGTTTCCCTCATCCATTTGGCTATGGTGGCATGTCGATCTGATACGAATGTTGTTATTATTAGGCCAGTTGTAAGGAGAAATGACATGGCCTTTTGGTGACCAAGAGCCTCCATAGCTGAACTACTCCCTGCTTGGTTTGCCTTTGACAAAAATGTGAGTGACATATGTTCAAGTATTTGGAACAAATTAATTTTATTGTTAGCCAGTAAAACTACCTGTACAACAACCAAATGAATGATTAATCCAATTGTGCAGCAAAATATTGTGTATGTGCCATACTTTGCTGAATGACCCATACTGTCATGCCGCCCATCTCCTGACAATACAACTTCTTTTCCTTCTAGAGATTCCAATATCTTTTTTTGATAATTACGCCAATATAAAACAATGGAAGGAAACAGAAAGTGTCTCTGGTGATAATAATATGCGACTTCACTGTAGCTGATCAACCCCATGTTCTTGAACACTTGAAGTACCTGTACAATGCCATTGGTTTATGGAGTACTGAATATCTGTGATTGAGATGATACATTGCTACATACTTCCTCACCTTTTTTACTGAAGCACCTGCACACAAAATAGCAAAACTAAGCAAAATATTGCCAGCTGGAAACTATCCAAAAAGATATGGTTGACTTTTCCAGGTAAAGCTTTCTTTACAGTTACTGCACTGACTTTCAATAATCAACAGAGTGCCACAACAACTTGTTTTCACTTTTGGGTTGGGGTGAAAGCAATGATGACAGTGTTGAAAAAGCAAAAGTAGCTGAGAAAGGAAAACAATTCCCTTTGGCTCATCTCTTTTGTTTGTTCCTTCATTTACTCTGATAATGAAAGAAGCATTACTGTAAATGCAGAAATTATCACAAAACTTGTTACACATACACGCATAGAAAGCGTTATTTTAAATTACCGATTGCGAGTTAAATTATCATCATCGTCTGCAGTGTTCTCATATTCCCTCCTCAACTGCTCAGGCTCCCACAGAGGGTCTGTATTGTATGGATCTTTCTGTTTCGTTTCTTCACTATCACACATATATGTGTCCATATCCTCCATAAGTTCTTCAGAAATCTGGTCTAAATTACGACAAAGATGTAGTGGTTTTTTTATACATGCTGTTTTTGTTGAAGTGTGAGCCGTTGATATTTTAACACTAGCCTTCGTTTTCATCTTGTAAATGAACATGTTCTGTCGTAGGATTCTTTTTATCTGAAAAAACATTGAAATTTGTTTTTATTACTATAGTCTCCTTTTGTGAATTGAAACTTTAAACGTAAATAATGTATACTGGGGTCAGTTCTCTCATCGGTTACAGTTTCTCTTGTTATTAAATTAGTCGTCCGTATCCATTGCGTTTGATTGATAGCTAATTTCGTGTGCAGTTTTGTAAGTTCTCCATGCAACATCTTTAATTCACTATCTTTTTTCTTGCAACTCTCACAGGACGCCGTAGCATGATCCTGAAAGTTTAAAAATGTCTACAAAAGTTATACAAAAATATATTTCAAAGATACAAACCGGTTCATTTTCTTTGTTTTCCGTGTAATTAGGTGCATCGGGCGTGATCTGTTGGTCCTGTAAGAATATTGAGGAATAGTTGTTTTACGAAGTGCACGTATGTGTGAAGAGCAATTGTTGGCTTTACGTATGCATCATTCTCAGATTTGTCTGGAATTTCAGTTGTGCCTTTTCCTTTATGAAAATAGCACGAATCTTCTTTCTTCATGCATGATACAGACACTTCATTTTGTATTTCCTTTAAAACCTTAGTATAAATATATATTATATATTGAAAGTTTGCCTGGATGTATTAATGGTTCTCTCAAATTGTGAAAATTTATCATCTGCAATATGTGTAAGTATATAATAGTTGTAACTTGTGCTAACCTGACGCCGCTCTCTTGACGTTGTTGGTGTTGGCGATTTCTTCCAAATAGTAGGTACGGCACCAGGTTTGAGCCGTCTAGTCATACCACCCAAATGGAAAAAACGCTCAAAACAATCATCCGAGAAGTGATTCGAACAAATCATAAATCGAATTTTGCGCGAACTCGGATTAAAGTTTGCACGCTTCGTCTCAACAAATTTAACCCAAATTCTTCTTAAAGACTCGTCGTTTGGGCTTTTATGTAATGAAATGCCTGTACTTCTATCAGACGTATTACTGCAATCTTGCACGACACAGCGTGTTGAAGGCATGTTAAAAAAATTGAGTTATACAACCTTTTATATCTCTATTTGTATATAGTGTTATATTGTAAACAGCCGCGAGTTAAGACTATGACGTCACAAGCACCTTCCTTCTTGAAAATTCAAATATGGCGCATTTTAATGGCGGCTCTTAAAGTACAAGTTTTATCGCTACGTAACTCGAGCAGCATTAAATACATTGCGCTAAAATTTCGCCAGAAGAGATTTTTTTACATACACTATTAATCTATGAAAAAAAAACGAGAGGCAAAATTTTCGTTTTAGTACCACTTTAACTACACATACGTCAATATATTGAATCTTGAACCGCGACGATTGTTGTCCAGTGTTACTGCGATAAAAAATATGTTATGATTCTTAATGGAGGGATGATTAGTAAAGAAAGATTTGTACCTACCGGTAGCTACTTGGTGAAGTTTTGTAGAATACTAATGGTTTTTAAGGGAGTGATAATATTTTACTGTAAGACTAAATGGCAACATCTCAAAAATGGCACCCTGAGTTGAACAAACGGAGCTCACAAAATCTGGACAATCACGAATATGGAACTTTTACTCACTTATATACTTCATATATATATATTGCTGAACTCTTGCAAAGCTTTTGTAGCTCTGTTTTACATGCCTTTATTAAAATCTATGGTAAATATCCATGCTTTCACACTTCGCTAGTGGATATATTTTGTGGCAGTTGTTGTTTGAGGCTGAACTCGCGTTGCTTCCGATAAGTATATTTATAACATTCAATCAAAAATTGTACATTGCAAGAAAATACTGAAACTACAAGTAAGCACGTGCTGATACACGTAACTTACATAAAAGACGTTACATGATTGGTTGATAATAATCTATCATGAGATTAAGTTCACAATGATAGGGTGACATTATTACACAAATTACTACACTTTCCTTATTTCATTATAAAGACGCGGCTTGGCAAACACCTTACATTACACTTATACATATAGCAGTGTCATTTTGGCTACATAGAAAATGTTGAAAATGATCTATTTTAACTTTACTTTTTGTTATTGTAAATATATTTACTAAGTTATCTTCGTTGGCAATTAATTAAGTTCATTGTTCCGCGCTACCTGTACTTTGCTTCTAATAAAATGATTTTTAATTTCTATGTGTTTAAACGTTATTTTTTTTTAAAGGCTTGGTTCTTCCTGATATTATTGCTCCCTGGTTGTGTACTTTGATTTTCGCGCCACTGTTCTTTTCCACTATGCTTAAATCACTGAACCCAAACTAAAGTTGTACACTCTGTTTTTACTCTCTGCAGAAAATAGGATTACTGTATGGGCAACGTACACAACGAGGACCTCTTCTGCAATAGTATGAGCCTGGGGTATTATAGCATAAGTAACACGATTCACAAGGAGAAAACTTGCATTCGTTGGTATCTATAATAATAAAAAGTCAAAAAAGCTGTAATAACTAAAAATAAACAGCAAGACAAATGCCTGCTTTTTAAAGTCTAACCACACACACAGAATGAAGTTTCAAAATCCCCTCGCAAATTTTTATGGCGTAGCTATAATTTGAAATATTTTGGCAAAAAAAACATGCCATTGTTGAAAACATTAAACTGCCATTACTTGGCAGGAGCGAGATTTCTGTGTTGCAATCATTGAGTATGAGTGTGATTGAAGTTTTAGAATACGGGCAAAATTCAGTAAATTCACGCAAACATTCTCATTCATTATATATCATACACCATTTGTATCATATATGAAACAAATTACCTTGTATACATCAAAAATTTTGAGATTACTATTGCAAAAAAATTCTTAGAATCACTTGACCAACATTTTTTGATGTCAGGGTCAGGAAGACTTTATAAAGTTTTTGTAAATTCCACTGACGGGTAGCTAATATAATCAAAACTAATATTACTCTGGACAATATTGTTTCCGTTATATTGATTTCAAACTGATTGCCTACTCAATGGTACTTGATAAACTAAAAGATTTTTTATATTAAACGGAAATCTCAGGGAGGTAGTAGATCAGAGATGATCTCCCCCACAGATGATTTTTGTCAGAAATTTTAAAGTTATAAGGAAATGTAACAACAACTAATTGTTCTTAAATTCAGGGGAAAATGATGCAATAAGAGTAATTCAATTGAAAATTCAATATTAAACCTATTATATCTCCAATCTACTTTCTTTTTATATGCTTGCTGTAGTCATTGTTGATTGATTGATAAACTTTATTTAAACTCATTAATTAGCCTTTTCAGCAATAGCAACATGAGAAATGGCAATTGCACTTTTGCACTACACATAATTTTTTGACCATATGTCTTAACTCAAATGACAGATGACATATTTTAAACCAACAACCTAACAATATTGTAAACTATGATGTGGCCTTTAATTAAGAAATAAAAGTTATTTAATGTATTTGCACAGGCTTAAGCCATCCCCAAGGAGACCTTTGGAAGTTAGAGCTTGAGAGCTGATCGAGAATTTGAAAGTTCTCAAAAAACGTCTCTAAGGTTTGCATAAGCCAGTGCAAACACGAAAACATCATTTATCTCTTTTATAAAGCAACAATAAAGTGGAAAAGACAAATTGAAAACAGACGTTTCAAATTTACACCTAAAATGCATTTATGATCGATTTGAAATTTGATTGATTTGATTTGTGGAATTCATATCTGTTTTGCACAGACTAATGAAAACACAGCTATTGACTAATCAGAACCACGTTTCACTGTCTTTACTTATAAATTGAATTCTAATTAAGTGATTGCCAACTTTATGCTGGTTTCACATAAAATGCTCACTTTAAACAAGCTTAAGTCAGTTCTAATATAACATAAACCACTAATTGTTATCTATTTATCTTTTAATTCACTTAATCAGCAGAGACTTTTGAGAAACGCCCTTCTTGAGTTAGCTAATAATTTGTGCATTTGAACACAAGACCCTGTCAAGCATTTCCCATATTTTAATACTTCAAGCAGTTTTCAAAGAATTTTCACGAAGTCACGTAAGCTTGCAACATTAGATAAAAGATCTAGAAAGACCAACTTACCGATACATTTCTTTTTGGATTTGTCAAGTTTGTATCCAGTGGAGCATAGGCATTCGTAGGAGCCTGGGATATTTATGCATGAGTGATCTTTGCCACAAGGAGAAGACTGACATTCACCGATATCTAATGTTTCACAATAAAGTTGTTTGAAAATGTGTACCATAAATTAAGCAACTTTATATCTAATATAAACATGTGTAATAAATAAATGTGATTTTTTTGTTTAATTTATTACATTTGAATATTTCTTAATTGATTTTACGAGAATGTAAAAACATAATAGTCCTAAAACATTAATATTTGATATGAGCAAATCAACATGTAAAGAATGAGTCTATTAACAGAATAAATTAATTAACGATCATTTACTGTACACGATAGAAGATTGCTCACCAAGGGCTACAAGCAGAACCACACATAAAAAAAGTTAAATCTGGTAGTGGGATTGATAAGGTGGCATCTATGATATAAATCAAACCTAGTTCTTACATAGCTAATAGGACTATAAATTATGAAGTGTGACGTGTACCCACGACGGTTGCTATTTTTGAATTATTGTCATCATTAATAAAAAAACGAAAAACAACTTAGCCATTTAAAGCAATGACATTAGTCTTGGAAAAACTCACACAACAAGGGCATGTTAATTATCTTATCCTGTCGTTGCAAGTGTCGGAAATTTTGAGTTTGTTAATTCAAGATGTTGGATTATCTTTGCAAAAGAAAATGCATCAACTAACAAAATTATATGAAAGTAAGCATATCATCTATACCAATCAAGCTCGACGGTTACCCACAATAAATCCTTTGAAAAAATTTTTTACAAGAAGTGGAAAAATCATATTTGATCCAAGCATGACGTCATTGATATGCATATCTTGGTATGAATAGCAGCGGTATTTGGAGAAGTTGCATGTTGCCGTAAGATTATAAAAAGTATTATTCAATCAAGCATTATTCATTGTTCCATCAAGCACTGTTCATTTTTAAATGTATTGTTTTCTAAGTAAATCAACACAGAAAAAGTAACAAAACAAGACTAAATACAAGCAGGTTGGCTACGCCCAGGTCCAAAACTAGAACGTTGATTGGAGGGGGGTGGTGAATATTCATATATGTGCGAATAGTCATGTTTTGTGACCTAATGTGCTCAGCTGTAGGGCGTGTCGGACAAAGAAGTTATGTAAATAGGAATGGTTAAGAAGTTATGGCATTTTCATTATTGCCTAATACCAGGTCTTTTGAATTATTATAAGTTTAGGGAAGCTTCATCTAAGGTTCCGTTTTTGACATATTTACTCGGGCAAACCTATTACTAAACATAACTCTCAATTATTTTTGATATTTAGGTGACCATTCCCTGCATACCAGTTGTTTATTGAATTGACATCTTTAAGTATGAACCAAGATATACTTGCAATTTTTCTGATTGGCCAAATTTGGTACCACATTAATATTAGTTGAACATGTTAAACTATTTTTGGCGATAAGAGATTTATTTGTCTTCAAGCCATTAACATTTCACCTTGGGCCATTGATTGAATCACTCTTAGTAGCACAAAAAGTTCAGAATTCGCTTTTAGTGCCAACAATGTGCTACATGGTCGAATGAGTTCTCTAGTTCTAACATTTTTTTGGCAGGAAAACAATAACTAAAGAATGCAACCATTTTACCACAAAATAGTAAATATATGTAAAGTATCTAATGTATTAAAAATTTTAAAAGCTACTCACAGTTTAAATTACGTCTCTCACGTTGACAGATGAATTTAAAGTGCTTTACACATCGAACATCATTCCATTTGGATTTATAATTTTTGTCATAAATTACAACGCAGTCCTCTATGCCAAATCTTTCGTGACTAGGTTGTCTCCAATACCATAATGTGAAACTGGGCTTAACATTTTGAATTGTGTAGAACTTATTGTCACTTTTATTGCGATACAAACCAATAAAGTGACCTTTAAGGCGTTTTCTCAAGATGATTCTGGTTATGGCATTATTCTCAGCATTATTCTTTGGAACAGCAAGATCTCCTACCTTCTGTTGACAAAGTTTTCTTGCTTTATTCCATGTTGCTGCTTTTGCACTGAAGAAATAACAAGATGATTCTATATGCAACCAATCAGAAGGACAGCTTGCTAGACGAATGAAACAAAAAATAAGACAACAATAACAAGTAATTGTTTTCAGAATGATTTGTACGAATAGAATAGAATATTTAATATGCACTTTTAAACTGTAAAAGCTGATTAAAAATGCTTAAACAGGCAGGATTGTGTTTTGCAGTCAGATGTTGTTTAAAACAAGTCCTTCAATACCTAAAGGGTTTTTAAGGAGCGAGGACGGTCTTTGAGTTGGTTTTGTAGAGTAGCCACAAGTTGCGGAGTAAAGTATAATAGAATACAATTCTTAAAAAAATTGTATAGAAATTGTAAAAGAAATAAACGAAATTGTTTTTAAAGCTTATGTAGTCCGGCTAACACTTGACATTTTAATCATAAGGAGAAACCTTCGTGTTGAAATGGAGGGTTACAATAATCGTCAGGTGTTGATGTGGATTTGTTACGTATTTATATTGTGCATAATCAGCTGTCTGTTTTAAACTAAAAACTAATTCATTACATAATATTGTAATCGAGAAAGAAATACTAAAAAAAGGAAATCATAACACCAAAAATGTGCATGAACTTGAGGTAAGCTGTCAAATATAGCTCATTTTAACGCCCATTTCAAATAACATTCCTAATTTTCCAGATTAAAGTCAATTTCATTGTAATGTGTGCTTACATGAAATTTTTTTATGTCTGAATAAAAAAATCCAGTCTAACTCTAATAGCGTTAAATTGAATAGTAAGAAAGTCATTTGAAATTTTATTAAACCCAGTAGAAATTTAATGCCATCTACTGAAAAACGTTATTACACATTATTTACATACATTTTTTGACCTTATTTATTGTACCTCTTAAAAATATTGCTTATTTAGGTTTTTAAAGGAAGTGAATGCTTAACAGTAAAACCTAATTTTCTTACATCGAAAATGAACAAGATATGTATAAATGAACATTATCAGTGCATGCACCCATACTAAGCAGCGGATGACTAATTGCGCGGCCTGTAAGCTTAGAAAAATTTGTGGAACTTTAAGTCATAAAACTTTCTCCCAAAAAGTTCAGTATTTTGAGGACCTTTCCGTTTCTTATGCTGCATTGCCTTTGCTTCAGTTTTGTTACTCATAGTATAAACAACATAGAATAAATTTAAATTTCGAACGAGATAAACTCACTACTTTATGAGTTCTATACATAGAGCATTATAATAGTATATCGTACAGTTTCCAACAGGATATATTATTGGAATTTTGAACATTTATCTCATCTAGAATGGCAAAGAGTAAAAACTATGTTTAAAGAGAACAGGACTTTTAAAAACGCGGGAATGTAAGATTCAGCCTACATATCCTACTGAGTGATTACTCGGCCATATTTTTCTGTTGTTGGAAAGAGTTCATAAAAATACAATCCATTGGTTGAAGACATTTGATGTAATATTATTGAGGTGCAATCATTCTAGGAGTTCTGGAAGCATGTCTGTAAAAATGCTTTTTAAAGCTTGGATTTACAGAATTCTTAGTTTACGAAAGCCAACCAATAATAAACTCAAGACTGTCTAATATGGTGTATCTAGGTTAGCAGGGCCATAGCTGGATAACTAACTTCAGGAGGAGTGTTAAACCTAACTTTAATTCTTACCCTAACCCTAGCCCAAGCCCCGCCTTAATGTAGAGAAAAACAAAATGTGTTAATGCTAACATATGCTATTGTCATTTAGAGAACCATACACTTTCAATGTTGTGTGCTGAGGAAGTTTTAAGTGTATTGAAGCTTTTCATAAATTTATTACTGATTTCCTGCTTGATTGTATTGATAATGGTTTATGAACTTGTATGTGGTGCTTTGAGCCTTATTTTTGTGGTTACATGTAAAATGTAGATGCAGCAAATTCCTTGCGCAGAAAGAACAGCAGAGAGAACAGCTCAGGATTCTCAACTAAGAACAAAGGTTTAAAACTGCACAGATATGCTCTTTATTGATAATAAGTGATAAAAAATCTTAATAAAGACAGTAATAAATCCATACCATTGCACGAGTTACATTCTCCAAAGTATCCTTCCATACACGTGCAGTTCAATGTTCCATTAATTTTACGATAGTATGTGTTGGGTCCACACAAAGGAAATTGAAAAGTGCTTGTCTCTATATCGATCAATAAAATTAAAAATAAAATCAACCAGGGATTTTAAACGAAACATATTCTTCCTCAAAGAATACAATTTTTCACTCAGTATCCACGTTGACGTACCAAGCAAGCAAGTTTGTTATGCAATGTTAGCATTTTTGGTGTTCGCGCATTTCGTAAAAACAAAACAATTTAATAAATGTTGAAAATTTACAGATTATGAACAAATTTGCTGACTGTTTGGGGCACTATAAGGGATATACTAAAGAAGTTAGATAATTGAAAAATGTTCAGAAAATTAGCAATTCATCAGTAGTTCTCACAAAATGTGTCAAGCTCATGTATTTTGGCATGGCTTTAAAGTAAAATGAATAAAAAATTAATCTCGAAAACCATAAGAGTACTTCGTAATCGCCTCAATTTTAACAGCATGCACAAAGAAAATGAAAAGTTTCAAATCTAGTTTAATCCAAAGATGTAAAAGTTTAAACTCTGTTTTGCAATATACTGAAATTTTAAGAAATTTGATAAACATTAAGCTCACTGCACAACATCTCAATTTGGACGTTTTTGTCTTACAATCTATTTTCATGATTTTTTTTATTTAAGACTGATTTCAAGCCCAAGTGATTGTTTAAATGATGTAAAAAACAATAAAGACTTAAATTTAACACCCAAGAAGTTTGATAAGAATAGACACACGGCAAAAATGTCCAAATTAGACACTTTGCACTTTGAGCTTAATGTTCATTTGATTTTCTATAATTTTGGAAGGAAGAACAACGTTTACTAAGGCAATGTAACTTTGAACTTTTTAACGTCTTTCTATTGTATGAACATTAGCGTGGGAGTTTTGGCAGGTCTTACATTACTATAACAAATAGGTAAATATTTAACTACCGTTTGAATGAGGAGTGATACTGTGTATAGCTACAGCCAAATCAAGATAACCGATGTTTACAGGAAGAAAAAATTTACGTCTCGTACGTTGATCTGTTGTGTTATGGACACTAACGACACTTCGTCCAACACTAGTTATGATATAAATGAAATCCCCAAATACTGCCATGGGACCTCGTGAAGTTCCAAAATCAGTTACATTTTGGGAGTAGTAATCACAAGAAAAAACATTTCCGTTTGAAACTCGCCAATATATCTTCTCTTTAGCAATGTCAAGCGTTAGATCAAGTGGTATTGACTGAAGTGAAACTAAAAAAATATGATGTTTATTTGCAGTCATGCTCCATAACCATAAGAAACGTTCTGTACTTTCTGCCAAGAAAAGATACCTAAGTAAAAATATTTGTTTTGTTCATTAGTTTTCTCTATACGTACTGAAATGCAATTGGCAGGCTAATATATGCAAGAAAGGAAAGATAGAATATTTTTTTAGTTTAGACAAAGATGTTGTCAAAGTATTCAGAACTACCTTCATATATACACGGTTTAATGGAACATAATCATAAAATTTGATAATATAGCAACATAAAGCTATTATAACTAGCAGGAAAAGATCACCTTTATCATTTGAAATCTCTCTTTTAAAAACCGAACTAAAATATATGGAGTAATTAATCATTCCATGTGGTTCAGAACATAATAATAAATGTAATATGTTATTATTATTCGCAAAACTTCTATAATGATTGTTTGCGATTATTGTCGGAATGACTAATGCTGTAGTTTGGAGTGGCTGCTGAATAAATTGTGTTGGTAATTGATAATGCTGAAAATTAGCCGATGCGTGGAAATTTTGTTCGAATTGAAAATTTGGTGTTGGTAAATGATATGCACCATTTCATGTAGATATTTAATTAAGAAAGCTTTGTCATTTCAATTTTAAGCTTTCTTAATTTTTCAGTTTCATCTTGCATGAAAATTAGCAGCTCCTTGGATGGATCATCGTCCACAAATGTCTTTAAAAGAGCTATAGCTTCAAAAACATTGTCTTTTGTTGATACTTTTTCTTTCAGTTTGTTTGGACAAACGATTTTTTAAAACTATCTTAACATTCTCTTTTTAATTGTCAAATTTTTTCATTGTTTTTCTGAAAAATCAGAAAAAGATTGACACTGGAGCTAACGCTATTTGTGCCATTTAAAAATGATGATTCTATTGCCATGTCATATTCGTGTTTTTAAGAATCTTTGGATAGGACGAGCTGCAAAACCTGCTTAAACTCTATGGCCTTTACTTTATCGAAAATGTTTGATGCAACTGGCAGTTTAGATTATCATTGATACATAATTACATTTTCCTATACATTTTTAAATATATTACGTATTTGAGTAACAGCAAAGTTCATGTCTTCTTATCGTTCATTGCACCTTGCCCCGAACTCTTTAAAAACTTTCTCGTATATATTACCGTTCTTTTGGCTTTTTGTGTTCGTGAAACTTAATTTTTTCTTGTAATATGATAACAATTAATGCCTAACATAAAGTTTTAATTAGAGCCATAGAAATAGACCAAAAGCTGTAAAATTGAATTTATACTGACGTTTCGTCTTTACTCAAGACATATTCAGGCAAGTAATAATTTATAATGAGATTTAAGACAAGATATTGTATTTACAAAAGGTGTTAAATTACGACTAAAGGAGGCGGTGTCAAATGGATTACATGATAAAGAAGTTGGGAAGTAAAATTTAGTGAAGCTAAGAGAGGCGAAGAGTGAAGGCTTGTATTTATTGATTAGAAGGCTTTCATGAATGGAGAGTTCATAGGAATCGTTAGAAGAGGAAATTATTTTAAAGTCGTAAATTATTTATAACATATTCAGAAAGTTCTCGCTCTACAGGGCTTTTAAGCCAATTTCTCTTTAATCACATGATTATTATCTTCAGACCTAACGTTTGCCTAAGCTACACTAAGAAACACTGCATGAACTAAAGGTAGTGGAATGATTTTCCAATCAGGTGATTTGTTTAGATATGTGATTGGATTTATTAAAGGAAAGTGTGCAGCCACTTAATTTGCAGCTCTCGAGTTTTCAATATACTCTGCCATTCAATGCAAGTTAAAAGAAGGCTTGAAAACTATAAACTTGATATATTGATTATGTTTTTTTAAAGTGGTTATATCACGAATTTTAGCCCCCCTTTTTTATGAGCTTAATCGAAAATTTGGATTATTTGATGAACTATGACATGTCGCTGGACTTAAACAGATAAATATAAGTTGCTTAATTTTGCCTCCAAAGTCGGGTACTATTTGCGAATTTTTTACGACGCCATTTTAATACTTGTGACGTAGATAGTTCAACACGTCTGTTTCCGTCAATATAATATTATATTATAGAAGGTGATTTTGTTGTCGTTTTTCTTGTCTTAAAAACAAATAATGACAGTATTTTCAATAAAATATTAAAAAACAAGTTGTCCGGAAAGTATGGCCTCAAATCAGTGCTCAGATAATTCAAATTCGATGTCTGAATACGTATCTGATTCGAGCTCGGAATCCGTGGGGTATGTCGAGCATTTAAACGACTTCGCATATGACGATGAACCGCTCGCAGGAGATGGTGATGAAGTGCATACTCCAGATGATCCCGATGGAATTCTCCCTGCGACCTTAGAACAACGAGGTGATGGCGTACTTCCACTCGGTGAATGGTAAGTTGTTGTTTTCTCCTATTTGTAATATACATAAAGTTACTTTATAAACCACAATGCTCCCACGTTTCAGGTGTAATTGTCAATGTTGTCATACCGATTTGTTAGAAGGCGCATTAGAGTACAGATGCTGTAAGGAAATAGGACCAGCTTTGCAGAAAATGACATTCGATGGCAGCATTGAGAAAATATTTGGGCCTTTAGTTCATGAGGCTGTCCTTGAAAACGTCGGGCCACTATTGAGAGATAGGAATGGACGTGCTTATCGCTGCCAAGCATCACAATCATTAAATATGTAAGATTGTAAATTGTATGAGAAACAATGTTATCATCAACATTGTTTCATCAACAATAATTAGTCCAACCTTTTTATTTACTTCAGGTACTTGAGAGCTGTGGCATACAGATGGTTGATGCGATGGTTTTGTGGGTCTATGGGATGGGAGAATACTCGGCCTTTACCTGCTTGTGTTTACCACTTTATTCGGAAAACATATCCAAGTGGTAACACAAAAGGTTACATACCATCAGAGGGGCGATGATGGAAAAGTCTTTTAACTTGTGCACTGTAGAGACGGTTGGCCTTCTTTGCTGAATTTAGAATGGTCAGGAAATATGCGTAGATGAAAACCAAATAGGAGATACATGGATGCACTATATGGTAAAGAAAATCTTTTCTTCAATGTCAGTCTGGGAAAAAAGACAAAAGAAAAATTATATGGAATTAAATCATAGCATAAATGTAAAAATGGAAAATAGCAAGCCACATGAACTTATCTTATAAGGTCTTCACACTTGAGTGCACTGCATCCGCAAAGGGCATGTTGAGCATTAAACTACAATAAAAAAAATTATTCATGAAAATTAATTAGTTGCACAATCGAGTGAGATAGTCATCTTCAATCTGACAAGTATACATACCATTCAATGTTATATTAATACTGTAATCATCAGGAAAGGTGTGTATATCAGTGCCCAGATAGGGAGGCTAGAGGGTACTATCACTTGCCTAAGGTGAACCCTCAGGCTGGTGGTGGGAAGGAGGTGCCTTACTTCTCCATTCCAGACAGGCTCCAAGCAATGTCTGACCACTGCCCTATCATCTACCAACTTCAATTTATTCTTTTTCAGTGGAGCATTGACCTTGAGGATGTCCTTTCATTGGAGCTTTGCATTTAGTACATTTGCGAGTACTTTTATTCCCAGCGCTATTTAATATTTGATCCGCATCATCTGTTAGGTCTTGTAACTGCTGTCTTTGCTGTTCCACTAAGGAAAAAATGCAATTCATTACATCCTAAAATAATTGTAAACAATACCATTATCCCATACTTACAGTACGGATAAAGTGCATGACTGACATGCTTGTTCCTCGCAACATATATTTTTATTGCCTCAGCCTTGGATCGTTTGGTGGGAAACTGGCTGCACAAAGGTTTGGGTGCTTTACCTCTATATCTTTCCATTATAGTTGAAAGTTCTTGTTTATTAGACATGAAAAGAACATTCTTTACTTGTTCAACATATTCTACAAATTGATATGAAAAATAATTTGTTACTGATGCTTCAATTCTCATATTCTACAGCGATGGCTTATGGAGAGTATGTCGAATAATCTACAAAACTTATATCGAATTTATATGACAAAAGAAAAATTAACATAAACAAGCGTAAACTTACTTGTCTGCGCTTTCGATCGGTTATTTCGTCCTGTAATGGTTCAGGAATCCCAGCCACGTCAATGGTTGGGATAGCATCTTTCTTCAACCTTCTTTTGAGATTGACTTGCACGCTCAAATTAAGGTCAAAACAAGAATCTTCAAAATGCGCAGAACACAGACACGAGGTAGAGGAAGCCTCAAAACCCGGTCTATGTTTACGCACAAAATTTACCCATTTTCTATGTCTTTGCGGCTCTGTTTCTTTTTTAGGAAACAGATGCATCGACATTCCTTCTGTTTTTGAATCATTGGCGCAACTAATTTGATTAGGTCCGCCAGCAACACAGCGTTTTCCTCCGCGTTTCTTATTAAGATTACTAGTAGAATACGCCATGTTGATATATGTGTTCAACTTTCTACGTCACAAGTCATTAGCATACCGATCAAAAAGTTCGCAAAAAAAATGCTGAAAATCGTGACTTTGAACGTCCGTAAAATCACTTTCACCAATCCAATTGCAATTATAATTGCAGATTTAAAATCACTGAAACAAGGTCTTTCAATTTAGCTAATAAAAAAGGGGGGCTAAAATTCGTGATATAACCACTTTGAATTGCCACATTTTTGAAAACTAAAATCCATTTTTATATTTTTCATGTAACTACGTTGGAATGTGTGTAGTTCTTTTTATCTTTATTACAAAGCGAAAAGTTAAGGTTTTTTACATTCACCACACTCGTGAATATTTTAAAATTTTATTGGCATTCTGTATTGAGATTGTTGCACATCTCTTGCACTGCCTCAAAAAAGTATACAAAAGAGCA